TGGAGTTGCTATATGTGCATAACCCATCTTAAATCTTTTTTCCACTCCTGTTCAGTCCCCTCCCTCCCTATCCCTCTATCTCTTGATTTCCTTACCTTTTACAAAAGATCTATCTGTTTTTTTGTATTATCTATCTTTTACTTTGCTCTGTATTATATTTTGGATTTCTCATATAAAAGAAGCTGTGCAATATTTGAATTCACGTGTCTGATTTATGTCACTTAATATTAAGGTCTCACAATGCATCTATTTTTCTACAAATGACTCAAATATATATTTCTTTGAGGCAAAATTGTACATCATTTTGTATAAATGCCATGTTTTATTTACCCATTCATTTGTTGATGGATAAATAGGACTCTTCCAAGATCTAGTTATTATATTTTAAAGAGAATAATAAAAAAGAACAATAGAAAAATACCAACAATGTAGACAAAAGCACAACAGCAAAAACGATAAAAATGATACAGGGCTTCGGAACAAAATTATAACAATAAACAGTGATTGTTATATTACATAGGTTATTTAAAGTTACTCAGATTACCAGATGTAAGAGTGCAAGATTGATCAAACCATTAAGGAGAATTAAAAAAATAAAAGAAACTTTAGAAATGATACAGTCTCACTAGACAAGATGGTAGGAATTCACCAATGGTGGTTATATTGCATATTATTGTCTTCAAATTAGTTGCTCAGATTACCAGATATAAGCATGCAAAATTAGTGAAAAAGAAAAAAATAAGGCATTAACAGTTCCATTCAATAAACCACAATAGATAATTATATTCCCTTCCTTCTTTATTTTTCTCCTTACCCTCATCCCAGTTGTTCCTTTCTTTGAGCAATTTCTTTCCCTTTCATAATATCTACTGTATATTTTGGGTTTCATTTACTCTTTCAGATTCTTATAGTAGGGAAACAATACAACATTTACTCTTGTGGGTATGCTTTATTTTACTTATGAGTATGGTTTCTAGTGGCATCCATTTAGTTATTATGAATTGTGGTGCTTTAAACATAGGTATCACTGTAGTATGATGTCTTTACCTCTTGTCCTAGTTAATGAATATCTTTTACCTGTGTGTGATCAAAATTCAGTGAATGCTGCTACTGATGCAAAGATAGGATAATAAAAAATGATGCAGTGTGTCCTCATATATCTTATTCACTGGATCTGGAACTATGTAACTTATAGCTCCTCTTTTTTTTTTATTTCCCTGGCTCCTCTCAAAAGTCAAAATGACCATAAAAGATAAATATTTTGAGTCCATTCCTGACAGTGCAACTGAATATATTCATGAAAGAAAACTTCCACACTTTTTCAAAAAGTGGCAAAGAACATATGATAAGTGTGTTGAAAGCTGGAGGGGGGGTATTTTGAGGGAGATTAATGACAGAATATCTTTCCCTGTAACTTTTTTTAAAAAGTTAGCATTTACCATAAATTGCAGTCACACCTTGCATATCCATCAGTGCAAACATTCATACCTATATCTATTAATTCATTAATGTAATCCAAATGCACTGAATACCTACCACACTCCAGGCACTGTTGTGTGTGTTTTGGCAGGAAAGGTAACAAAGAAATGAGAATTGAATAGTGCATGTCAGTGGTGGT